TCTTTCAAACTCAAAGAGCTAATTTAATCGAACGTTATTGATAGGCACAAATCATTCATAAACCATGCATAACTATTACAGTCCATCACAGAGTCAACAGAGATAACCATTCACATGTATTTTTTATGCATTTATATTCTTTTATAAGTTACAAAAAACATAGAAATTATGTACATCTACAGTAAACCACGGTAGCCTGCATAGCTAACCCTTTCTCAGTTTAACGTGGCATCATCCAGTCAGGAAATGTACAAAGACACTGACATAAAAACTAAATTTGTCATTGTGTGAATTATTTTGAGCACAAAAAATTGGAAAGTTGTTCCGTACGATTAAAAACCACCAGAGGACCTTTAGTTCAATACCGCAAAAGTGAGAAGAAAACTTCTTTGTGCCTTCGGCCGTCACTACTGAACAGTCCGTTTTGACAAAGATGAGAAATGAAGCATGATAACGATCCAGTAATTTACCTACATGAATCAGTTTAGTTTGTAAACTCTTCCGTTGGTTCGCTTGAATTTCTTTGTCACAGTTTGAAGAGAAAATTCATTTCACATTTCAAGCCTTATATTGGCGGCTCTGGTCCGGTCAGCGGTGTGTTAGTACATCTGAAATAGGCTGCGATCCTCTTTGGCTGCAGATGCACTGTGAGGGAACACAATAGGGAGCGTTGTTGCAGAAGGCATACACCTTTAATGACTTACTCAACCCTGCTGTTCCTGCACTCAGCATTTAGCCATAACATCCGTTGACAACTCAGAAAACAGCTGAGGCTCTGCAGCGTCCCCTCCCCGTCTCACTCCGGGCCTTGCTAATTACCTGAGCGTACGCTAAGCTGACAAGTGAAGTTGAACAGTGCGTGTCTCAGAGCTTGAGGTTGACACCACTCCACACCACTGACCCACAGCTGAACTTGGACGTAAGAGAAAATAACAAGTTGTCCAATTAGACCCCCAGTGTCCCGCCAGGCTTTTGCCCCCCTTAAAGTCTTACCTTGCCACACAACAATTAGCCCAGAGGAACACCACAACGTGTGAAGGCTTGCTCCATCTCGACGTGCTTCTGTGCCCGCTGGCCCAGGCCTCTGTTTTCAGGAGGATATTTGATAGGAAAAAGTTGCACTCACTCCCTGCAATTAACCCCAAACCCTACATTTGCACCAAATACTTCTGGTGTTTTTTTGTTCTTTTTTTTGTCTGATTATAACTTGATGGAAAAGCTGAAACAAAGCTAGTTGTACCTCCGTATGAAAGCACACACAAAAAATGCATAAATTTGATTAAAAGATTGTTACGTTTGAAACTAGAGTTTTGCAGGAATAAAAGACAACCACAAAGAATGACTGAACACATAGAAACTTAGAAAACAGAGTGCTCAGAGATCACTTTTATGCAGATTTGTTCCAGCTTATTGAAAAGAAGTGCAGGCTCCCTTAGGGAAATGCAAAATGGTTGTTGCACTTGTAGTGTGTGGTGTGGATGACTCAGTGTTAGAGACATTTTTGCGTTCGCTCGTGTCGATTAGTTATCTTCAATCAGGTTGACTCGAGCAGTTATTCAGCTGAAGTCCGAAAACTTACTTTGGGGAGTTTCATTAAAGGGATACTTTGCAACTTTTTCATATTTTAAAAGATTTTTCTTGAGCCAGTATGTGCTAAAAGGACCTTGTACAGCGGGGGGGGGGGGGGGGGGGGGGGGGGGGGTCGACACACACACTCAAATTCACACTGGGCCAAAATGAAAAACTGCGACGAAGTCACGGGCCAAACTTACAGATATGTCCTGTTGAACCTTTTCATTTGGAAACAAACTTATTTTTGCAGTAACACTGAATGTGGAATACCCAAATTACACACGAGCAAGTCAACTTTAAATAAAATGCATCAGTTGTATTCAGTTACTTATGTTTCAATTTGCTTTATTATTTTTAGTCCTTAAAATTTATATATGTTCAGCATTTTTTTATATATATTTTTGTTTTCTTGTGCTTTATTCATTATTCTTATTCTTTTTTTTTGCTCCTGTAATATGCGCCATCACTGCTGTGACACCAAGCTTCCCCCACTGAGGGACAGTAAGGGGATTTTCTATTATTTTCTTCCATGAGAAGCCTTTCAAGTTCCTGTTACTGTAGGTTAAATCTTTTTTCACGGGTCAACAACAAAAATCAACAAATTATTTTGTCTTAAATGAAAATACAAAATCTCAACTATTAACTTTCTTGCTTTGGAGCAGAAAAAGTACAGAAAACCAAAGTATTTCCTTTGATTTGCTGTGATGCTCACCTGTTCCAGCCAGATACCTGCATCTCTGGGGTTCGGCTCTGAGCTGATCAAGAGTTCATCATTTTGTTCTTTTCATCTTCATCACAGACAACAGTTGCTCCCACAAGTTTGTGCTGCTGAACATGGAGAGCATCTGAGCAGCTTGACCAAGCTGCTGGGTCATTGTGTCGGGGAGGAGGGATAAAAGCGTGTCACTGGAGTTAAATCAGCTCTGTTCAGAAGTTGGTTGGAGAACTTTCTCTGTCAGCTGTGAACAGATTACTGAGCGGTTCAAATATCTGTTTCTGGGCTTCAAAGTCGGCAAATTGCTGAGTAAACTCAGCGCTGAGTAAGAATAGTGTTTTCAGTTTGTCCGAGACTGAGGAGATAACGCTGCACACACCGACCGATACTGGAAACACAAAGGAGGGGCGCTTCGACTGACGAGTTAACACCACAAAGTACTATGGGATTTGCAGTCTTTTTGACCAAATGGGCCAACGGGTCAGTTTTAATATATATTTGACATTTGATCTTGTGGGTCAAATATTTGGTCAATGAAAGACCTCTCAGTCCTTATCTGTGGCCAGAATATTCCACTTACAACTTCAAACTGGTGGGCCGCTCTGTTGGGACTGTTGGGAGCTGACATACCTGGTGCTGCAGTCTGCCTCCAGCACGTTTCCTACATGTTTTAGATCACGAACACAACTGAGTTGTTTAATTTTGTGATGAATCACTCCTGTAGACACTAAGGAAGGCTCGGAGACATTTCAGCTGTTAGATTAAGGTGTTAAAAAGACAAACGCACAGCGAGGAGATAAGTTTTGCTTTCGGTTCGGACACTAGAGGGTGTTAAAAGCAAGCCAAAACTGCCTAGTTCCCCTTTAAAATCCCTCTAAATGTCCATAAGATGTTTTGTTAGTAACACATGCAGTAGGAATGCTCTTTCAGTAAAAAAGAGTATTAATGTTGATAAGAATAATGGGAAATTGATACTAAAAACAGCATTGCTACAATAACTTATGACAGCTGTGTCTCTTTATACAAACTCCATTTAATGCAAATAAACCTCTGCTTGTCTTACTTAATTATATTGATTTGATGCATCATCTCAAACATTAAAATCCAATTTTATGACTTAGACAAAAATAATTATACCACAAATTTATATTTTAAAAAGACAAATGTTCAAAAGTTTCTAATAACTTTTTATTAACGTATCTGAAAATGGAACACAAAGAAAAATAACTTTGTTTCATATTGGATTCAGGTTTACTCAAATAATAATTACAAATAAATAACTAAATGAAATGCATATTATGGTGATAATTTAACTGAAAATTGGAAAGGAACATGGTTAAATTTTTAGTATTATGATACTTAAACACAACACTAAAAAGAAATTCAACAATCTTTGTTTGATTAAGCCCCAAACAGCCTGTTACAACCTGTTGTAATAAAATTCTTGTGGCTTATTTTCAGGAACTTAGAACACCAACAAGAACACAGGTTGTTTAATCATTTTTGTAAGAAGTGCGGGAACTCCTGCTGGTCAGCACATACAAAACATTCCTCGGGTGTTTATTCAAGGCGTTAAAGCATAACATGCATTACTCAATGCTAAGCTACACCGTTTGCTTTAGAAGTCATCCTTGTCTGGTATCATTCACTAAAAACACACTTTAGCTGGTTTCTGGTTTGGCCCAAAGAAACTGCCGTGCAGTTCCCACTTTCAGTGAAAATAGAAACAAATGGAGCATCCAGAAAGACTTTCTTCACTTTAAAACAATCTCTCAAATTTGATTTATGGTAATTTGAATGAAGCAATGAATGTGTCTAAACAGCCTGTCGAAGCTAGTGTAAGTGTTTGATTGATCCTCGCTCAGCGTGACGACTGAACACTCAAAAAGTCATTTATAGGGATTCTGCAGATGACTTATTTCAATTCAATTCAATTTTATTTATATAGCGCCAAATCACGACAAGAGTCGTCTCAAGGCACTTCACATAATAAACATTTCAATTCAGGACAGTTCATTAAGCCAATCAGAAATAATGTTTCCTATATAAGGAACCCAGCAAATTGCATCAAGTCACTGACTAGTGTCAGTGACTTGATGCAATCCTCATACTAAGCAAACATGCAGCGACAATGGAGAGGAAAACTCCCTTTTAACAGGAAGAAACCTCCAGAGAATCCTGGCTCAGTATAAGCAGCCATCCACCACGACTCACTGGGGATCGAGAAGACAGAGCAGGCACACACACACACACACACACACACACACACACACACACACACACACACACACACACACACACACACACGACAAAGTAATGTGTCTATAGTTATATTGTGATTTCTTAGTAAATATTCTATTTGGTGAGAGATAAACGTTATTGTATTTATCCTAGTGTATCTATATTATTTATGTCGCTGAATAGATATCATCAGGGACACACCAAAAACCAACAGGCCTAGCCAGTTTCTGTTTGAATAATGCATTATGTAAAGCTGAAAATGCTCAACACCGGTGCTTAGGATCTTGACTCACTTGAAAAATCTAATTCCACAGTGAAGAACTGAAACCAAAATAGAGTCAATGTTGTTGTTGTTATTGTTGTTGTTAGCCTCAAGGGCAATATGCCGATTATCACTTGTAAGTCGCTTTGGACAAAAGTGTCTGCTAAATACATAAACATAAACATAAACAAAATAAAACAGGAAGCAGAATTTAAACGGCAGCTCTTTTATTATGTGCATTTCAATACATAAACACACACTAGAATATACCAAAATAATTTTATGACGACCTAAAAAAAGTCAGCAAAACAAGCATAATTTACATCTGGAAAATACTGCACTTGTCATATAAACAATGAGAACACACACCAATAAAACTCCATAAAATTACAATGTATCTGGGGAAATTAAAGTAGGGGGGAGGGAGCTGAAGACGGTGCTGTGTTAATGCAGGTCTAGCATACCGATTGGGGTGCTCATGTGAAGCCCGCAGGGAGAAAACATCTGAGTGTTTAAATGCTCAACATTTACCGTGTACTTCTGGCACAGGCGGTGATTTATCCCATCAATGAATCATGACAGCTTAAGAGTCTCGCTGCCCTCGTAACTGAAAATCATCCTTACTCCCTCAAAAAAATAGCTCAGGCATGGTGGAAACATAGAAACTATGTTAATCCAATTTGAAACAGCAGTCAAATATTTATTTATATATGTCTTATATTTATATTTTTTTATCTTTTAAAGAAAATACAAATGCACAAACAATAATTTTACAGAGCTAATAATAAACAGATTTCTCGTCAACAAGCTGTACAACCTGAACATAAAAGTTTCTCTTAAACGGTAAAAATCTGTCTTCAAATATGGCACATGTTCGTAGAAAATAGACTGATTTAGCAACGAGTTCAAAGATTTCCTCTGAGACCAGGAAGGCACTAGAGCTGTCTGACCTTACAGGTTTTTGGTATTAAACTGGTTTGTAATACAAAGACACGACAATAAGGCAGTTCTGGATATTTGGCAGCTTTCAAAGCTAAGTGTGTGTGTGTGTGTGTGTGTGTGTGTGTGTGCGTGCGTGCGTGCGTGCGTGCGTGCGTGTGTGTGCGTGCGTGCGTGTGTGTTCTTACAGGTAAAAACTGACTGTGTGATGTATGTTGCCTCCATGTTTGGATAAAGGCTTGACTGACCTGTTTAGATTTGACAGATTTACACTCCTTTTGACATGGACCAAAGGTCACGGGGTCACCAGTGCAACCAGCACGTACCGCACATCTTAGCCGGCACACGGAAATACAAGGCTGCGCTCGGTAAAGACCGGATCACCGTGCATTCGGTTGTCTTGCTAAAGCAAATGGCTCTGAACACCAAACAAGCTTTTTACACTGATCCTGAGGCACTATTTGTTGTCAGGTTGGCATTAGTCTTTGGTTTGTTCTTGCTTAGCTGGCTGAGTGAGTTTCTGACATGAGGAGTGGCTGTTCTCCCTCACATCCCTCAATTTCACTGCTCGGACTGTGCATTTCCAGACTGAGGTCTTGAGGTTCCAGTGGAGATGACCCTGCTGATTGAGCCACCTCCTCAGACGCCCTCCTCATCCTCTCCTCCTCCTCCAATCTCACTCTTTGCTCTTCGGCCTCTATTTCCTCTGTGGTAGGGATGGAGTTCTTCTTAGGTCTTCCCTTGGGCTTAGTTGGGGCCTCGTGACCTCCTTTAAGCACCTAGAATAGCACACAGACAGCCTTAGTGGACTCTGGTAATAAATGGCAGCCAAAGTCAAAGGCAATGCCTGCTATTATAGTAATTAAGGGAAGACATATTGTCACTGGCCAAGCCTTGTGTGCTCGTTTATCTTTAACGATTTCAGCTCTTTTTTTGTTCTCTGTGTTGTTGACCCCTCTACAAAACTGTTTGCTCTCTCTGCAATCATCATCAGTCAAACCACACGTAGCCTTCTTACACCACCTCTTCCTGACGCGTTGCTACCTATAGTTTGTTGTTTTCACAAAAGTCACCAAGTGTCGTGACCTGAAATATATGCATTTGGTCAACAGAGAAAATATCAGTGATTTAAAGAATTTATTCGTCAAAGTTTTGGAATTTCTAACATTTATATGCCCTCACATGCAGGGAACCCATCTCTTTTCACACAGTGCCAGTGAACCTACTGGTGTTTTGGGCCAGATTAGAATTGATAAATTACAGCAAGCTTGTGCCTAAAAGTATTTGATAGTTATGTCGCTTCTGCAACTCCTTGGTTCGTTGTTGTCCACCACCAAAGTTTATTCAAGATGGCCAGAACAGTCAGCCGGTGTAAGCAAGCACGATCATGCATGTAGCTCAATTAGATCAATAGATATTGAGCTAAAAGTTGGATTAGTGGCTGAGAGTTGTCTCATGCTCGAAGTAATAACAGATAATGCAACACCTTGAGATGTTGTGCGATTGTGCACTGCTTTATTTTCTAATTTAATTAATTCGATTGAAATTGATTCATATGGCTAAAAAAGTCAAGTCATATTACGGTACTTTAAAATACTAGCATGAAAAGGTGGGGTCGGAATTTGGTTTAGTTGAAAAGGCTACACAACATTTTATGAAACCTTGTTATAATTAAAGGTGCAACATGTAAGGATGAAACACTGTGGTTAAATTTAGTAAATTGAGTCCATTTTTTCTAAACACAAAGTTACTATGTCACTGCCGCTCCATGAGTGTCATGTCTGTTGACAGTTATGGATCGGTGCCGGAAGATTCTAGATGACAAGTGAAGACGAGTTATATATGGTAAGTTGATAAGTAAATATATCTAATGTCATATCTGGGTGTCTTACCGTAAGGAGCACTTTCTATACTTATTACGAGAATATGTCTCTGGCATTACAGGAAGTGTGGTTGTTAGCCATCTTGCTATTAGCTTGCTGTTATAGTTCTGAACGACTCATTAAAGGAAGTAAAATGTCACGATTGACTCATTATTCACTTCACACGTACATTTCACTGTATTATTGAGTTGTTGGGAAATGAAAAAGTAGCTTGAGATATTTTAATAGCTGACTAGTTGCTTCTAATTCATGGTTAGCATTGTTAGCTCAAAGTTAGCCTCTAGCCTTCTTCAACCCGATAGAGTCAAACAAAAATATGTGGTGGCTTGTTTAGGGGTACAAGAAATAACTACTGGGTCTTCTTGTTTACTAGTTTTGGTTCTTTAAACTACTCTGGAGCTTTTTGCCTGCCGTTGTCTAATTACAAATGCCGGCACTGCAACGTTAGCTTGGTGCAGACTCGACAACCTCACGGGCTCATTGAGAAAAAATGACAAGCCCCCAGCAAGCTGAGGAGGAAATATGTTTCTGTAAACCCTCCCTTCCAACATTACACTATAGTTATTTCGCTGTAGAATTCTTACATATTGCTCCTTTAAAGTTAGTTAAATTTGACTCAGTTGAGAAATCCACAGACAACAACAGAAAGGTGATGGAAATTAAGTAAAAACATTGGGGACTTACCATCTTCTTCCATTTCATACGTCTGTTTTGATACCACGTTTTCACCTGAAGCTGTGTGAGACCGAGGGACTGAGCCAAGTCTAACCTACAACATCACAAACAAACCAAGTCAGACACTTTTCCAATAACCAGGACAGAAATATTAAACAGTAGAATGTTTGAAACTTGAAACAGTTTAAAAACTTAATTATATTTCACAGAACTGATGTGTACACCCCTTCGAGCATGTCAAGGCTTTAATCGGTCACATGATGGCTACTCAACATTTTTTTAGATTGAATATCTACTTCTTTTAAGTATATTTTACACAGTTTCCTTCAGCAGTATAATTCTGCTGTAGTTTAGGTAAAATTGTTGACATGGAGCAAAATCCAATCCATATTTGGGTCTTTGTTTGTTGCAGGTATATTTTCCCACTTTGACATAAAATAACTTGTTTTCTGCCCAGCATAATCTCACTTTGGAGCTGAATTCTGACAGTTACACCCCTCGGTTAAGCAGCTATGTTAGAATCATCTGTACCGAGGACAGTAATCTCATCACAGCGCTTTAAGCTGGATGATCGGGGGCTGTTGTGAATGCATCCACCACATGTGGTGGTGCATGACTAATTGGACTATTGGTCGGTGTGTAACGCAAAACCTGCAGGAAAGGGACAGATGAAGTTAACAAGGAATCCATGTGTACAAAAGAGGAAAGGTTATTGATTTTTATGAAGTGGGATTTCCTCTTCTTAGCTCTTCAAAGGGTCTTTAACGGTCAGACGAGGGATTTTGGAGCCTCCGGGGGTAAAGAACCCACTTTGATTTTATGGTGAAAGCAGAGAAACGGATCTAAAAAGAAGAGCAACGGGGAAAACGTCTGAGATTCATGAAGCTTTTTTTTCTCAGTAAATGTTCACATAAAAACTGTTCTATGAGTATGAGACTCCATGTGCTTCAAGAAAAACAGGCAATCAAGCTGTCAATCAAACTTCATTATCATCTTTGAACCAATCAATGGCAGAGCAACAACTGGAGGCAAAGAAAAGTAATTGCAGAAAAGGGAAACACCCCATTTATTTACGCTCATTAGTTATCAATGGAGAAACCGCACACTCTCAACAGTAGAAACAGCACTTGAGTCACTCCCTGCGGGGCACTTTAAGGCTGCCATTTTGTTCCATTCCCACACCTCTCACTAGGTAATTTTGTGTTTCACTCGGTGCCTTTTTTTTAATATTGACGATAATAACAGCGATGAAGTTGATGACAGTGATGAGAATTAAAGCAGCAATTATTGTCATTGAAAGACTTTTAAAACCATTAAGGCATAACAATCTAGATGATTAAATCATTTTTAGGCACCGTTTTGGGTTTAAATTACACTTCCCCCCCACGCACACTCAGTGTTTAACACCGCAGAGACGCTGAGCCAAGAAAAGGAAGAGAAAAGTTCAAGGTATCCTTCAATCATAACAAACCAAAGTAGGGCGCACGCCGCACCTTTGAAGTGGGGTTTGAAAGGGGATTTTCTCTGTTGATGTTTTCGCTCCAACTGGGTGTTTAATTAATTTCCAACACAGTGTCAGAATCGGATATTTTGACAGGACGTGGCAATTTGGCACAGCCGCTCAAACGGATGGTTGGGTTTGATCACTGAGTGGTGCTCTGCCTCGGGGCCCTTGCTTTAAGATGAGGCATGGTTCATTTCCAGCAGTACGGGCAAGCCGAGATGTGATATATTTAATAATGCATTGTGGGAAGTTTTAACCCACGAGTAGGATGCACGATGGAATAACAAAGGATGCTGGTTGATTCGAAATATGCAAAGACGTTATTAGAGAGGATGTGGTAGACTGCAACGCCGTGTCTTTCTGAACAAAGCTGCAGTTTGCACATCAATGAACATTAACAGACTTGTGTGTGTTTGGTCAACACTGATTGAATCCATGAGTAAAAAGGATGCCCTAAATGTTTTCAGAAGCACTTGAAAACTTCAGCTTCGTTTTTCAATTCTGGCTGAAAAAAAAAAGTAGCTTGCAGAACAAATATAAAAAGTCCAAGTAGCTGGAAAATATGTCGTAACATTATGGCGGGTCCTAAAAATGACCCAGAGTAACAAACCTGAACCAAATACACCTGCACATGAGTTGGATGATTGGCAGCAGATCCATGTATGAACATTGGTGCTTGCTTAACTTGGCCACTGTCCCAGTTTCCTTGAATAAGGAAGTGTTTCTTTGTTGGGACATTTTTTTTCTTATATTTTAAGTGCTGAGGGTTAAAAACGTTAGTCCTGTCTCAACTAGAACGCTGAGGTAATGCTCTGGCTCGGATAAATTCACATTAAATGAGAAATTCCCCCACGGGACAGATCCAGAGTTATGATGTTCGGTTAACCACTGCTTGCTTGATAGCTGGGCTTATTGGATGTCCTTGAGCGTGCGTGCATGCTCTGAACTCCTGGAATGAGCTCTTTGCCTGCTACAGTACACAGGTTGTCAAAGTGCTGTGCCAGACTGACATTTATAAGACTTTAGTAGCTGGTACATCAGCTTTATTTAATTACTGTTTATCGCCTTTAAAGTATTTTTGGTTGGAGCTCGTGTTTCTGCTGGGGGCATAAAATCTAAATTGGTAATTGTGTGGTGTAGCCATTTATTTTTTTATTTATTTGTATTCATTTATTTATTTATATACACAACTCTAATCAGCTAAGATCTCCAGAACTGAACTGACCTGTCAGGTGTGGACAGGTACTTCTGCTTCTGGAACTTCTTCTCCAGGCCCATCAGCTGCAGCTCGGTGAAGATGGTGCGGCTGCGGCGAGGCTTCTTCAGGCGGGGCGTGCTGCGCTCTGTTTCCGACTCGCTGCTGATGCTGAGCGGCGTCTGGCTGGGCGAGGCATCTGAGCCTCTCGGGGGCTGCGGGGAGATCAGGGGCAGGTGGGAGTGCAGCACGCCTGGTGAGGACGGCTGAGGCAGGTGGGGCTGCAGGTTGGGCGGCTGTCTTGTGATGACAGACAGGAGTGGGTAAGCATGCAGCGATGAAGAACCTGGAAAAGCACACACAAACACACACACACAAACACACACACACACACACACACACACACAGGCTCATATTTAAGTACAACAATTACATGAGACATCCTTATGAATAACTTTGCGTGAGCTCTTCTGCAGCCCTCGGCCACCCGGCTCTGTACCCTCATCGGCAGCCCGTCATCTTCCAGACAGCTTTATTTTTAATTGACCCGAGTTTGCAGTGAAAAGTGTTTTGGCTTTCACCTCCTCCATGAAGAGGGCTTTGACCCTAATGACGCAAGCTGTGTTTTACACCGGTCCTCTGACCCTTTCCACTAAATGATGATTTCTTCAAAGGTTGTTAAGAAGGAGGCGGGTTCTCAAATCCACACAAATCTAAAATTACATATAAAGAGCGATTTATTTGCAGTTTACTCTCTCTTGAATGCTTCGTAAGTTTAAAAGTGCACATATTTATTGTTGCTGCGTTTATAAAGGGTTACACTTTTGTGCAGCCGAGGCTTGCTGCAGACCTGGCAGAGACGATAGAAGTAAATAATATTCTTGTAAAATACACAAACTTGAATATGTTATATTTAATGAGGAGAGTCATGTCCAATCCTGGTCCGTGAGGACCATTATCCTGCACGTTTTAGATGTTTCCCTGCTCCTACATCCCATGAACTAAATGATCGAATTACCTGTTCACTATGTCTTCATGTTCTGCAGAGGTCTTTTTATCACACATTCATTGAAATCAGGTGTTTTAATGTGCAGAAACATCTAAAACAGGCAGGATAGTAGCCCTCAAAGACCAGAATTACAGTGAGCTCAGAAGGTAGACGACTCATGAAGCCTCACTAATGTGAAATGTGAAAAAATTCAAAGTAAATTTGTAGGTTTTATTTAGTAATGAGGAGGAAAGGCTCCGCGTGTGGATTAGCCACAGTTGCTCAGCTCACACACACACACACACACACACACACACACACACACACACACACACACACACACACACACACACACACACACACACACACACACACACACACACACACACACACACACACACACACACACACACACACACACACACACACACACACACACACACACACACACACACACACACACACACAAGACACTGCCTTAGGCTCATCATGACATCATGTTAAAGCGCTGAGGTCATTGTTAGCTCCTCTCTTTCAACTTCTCCTTGTAAGATTGCGGCTTTGCAACAAGTTCAAACAAGAAGTCGTCTTTTCACATGTTGCCTGTTCCTGCCTCCCTGCTCTACCTTTCTGTTTATGTGTTCATCTTGGACTCAAAACTCTTCAATGAAACATTAAAGTTGGGACTCGATTGTCTGGGGTACTTCTCTAAACAGAGACCTGCTGAGGCAGAAGCAATAAAACCCTTTAGTTCTCTTGAGGAACTCTCTAGTTGGATAAGAACTTGGAGGGTGGGGTGGGCTCTTGGGACAGTCCCCCACACCTCCACCTCCTCCTCCGCCACTGCCGTCACCCCGACAAGGGAGAATGGAAGAGTGAAGAGGGAAATGTCAGGCCTCGTGGTGGCTTTCCACTGACAGCGAGGCCAGCTCTCTGACATGCTGTTGACAAGTGCCGGTGTCCTGTCAATAGGCTACAAATAAACTGTTTGAGTAGCTGCAGGAACACAAGTACCCCCCGCAAAAGCACATGAATCCTCTTGATAATCACAGTTGGAATGTAGAAACTGGAACAAGTGCTTATAGTAACGATTACAGGAGGCATACCTGCCAATAATAGATCAAGAAGAGCAGTTAGTCAAGCTCTACTTTTAATACCAGCTGTTTATCCCACCGAAAACACTCCGAGGCTTTTATTTTATTTCTTTATTTTAATCTAAAGTGTTCCCTGCAAACACCCACCATGTTTTATTTCATGTTTTGCACCGCTGAAACGATTTGTCGAAGCTCTATGGTAAAGTTTGTGTTTGACTGTGCAGCCACGCAGGTGCAGCGGCAGAAATCAGCCCGTAGCGTAAACTACTTTTACGTCTGATTAATTGCTCATCCCTCTCTGAAAGAAGGAGATTTTACAGCAGAATGGGAATGGCAGCCAGATGACAAGCTGTCAAGCATTATCCCCAACCGAAGATGGAAAGGTGTGTGCACATTTTGCTCTCCGGTGTTGACACGGGCGTTATCGACCTCTTCAAGTCGTCCTTTTGCTTAATGGGTGTTTTTTTTTTTCGTCTGTGGTGGATTAGACTTTAAGAAGGGATGAAAACTCTTTAGCTCATGTGGGATTTTTTTTTCTTCAACCCCTCAGCTAGAACCAGATCAGGCTTCATGCACTCCTGCTATTTACCTGTATTTGTCATTATGCTGTCAGGTGAGATTACACCACAGTTGATCTTAATCTCTCTCACCTCTTCCAGAAAACACCACTAAGAGCTCTGCCCTCCGTCCTGCTGAGAGATGGGCCGCCAAATGAAATATTGTAACCTGCCATTACGTTGTTCACCGTTCAGCTTTGGGTCAAGTAACTTTGTCCCCCTCTGAGTGTCTTAAAGAAACTGATCGGTTCTGACGCTTTTGCAAGATATTTTGAGGATAAGACCATTGCAGACATTTTCAAAAATCACAAAGAAACATAAGAGAAGGAGAAATCTGAGAGATGCACAAGTGATAAATAAAATAAAACATTCTGCTCCATTGTCTTTTAGCAGCCTCCACTGGATGAAGGATGCTACAGCGCCCATTTCTTTGCAGAATGAAGTGAACTTTCCCTCTTTTTAGGGGCCCATGCAGATGTCAGTCACCTCTCTTTGGCCCTGGAGCTGAAAAGGTTGCAGGCTTTCTATATTGAGCAGTAAAAGCCATTGATGTTGGGCAATATACGATGTCTCACACCCTACTCCGCGGCTACAAATAAATGGTGTGCAGAGTGTTCTGATATGCAGGATGGGTCACTCTATCCATTTGAAAAGAGGGGTGCCAAAGCCCAGTCACATAGTGGCCTCCATCAGAGGGATGAGGGAATCGCTTCTCCTATTTTTACCCAACCATCGCTGTGTCATCATCAGATGGCAGTGGCTTATTATTTCAGACTTTGGAGCAATTATCTTAATGGTTACTGGAGCGTGCAGCAGCTTTGAAATGCATAAAATGAGGAGATGACATTCAGAGAATCTGCAGCATTTTGCATCATCAAGAGTGCACAGGCGTCCTGTCAGGTGGAGTTTTGCAGAATTGCCCGTTTCCTTTTGCTTTGAGTCACGTAGGCGACTTTTGCTGTTCAACAACATACCATCCCTCGTCTACAAATGTCCAGCAGCAGCCGGACTCATTAGGGAAGACCTTTGGCTTCAAATGAATCAAAGCAAAAAGAGATGGAACGGATCAAAGGTTACAACTTCATAACCACGGTCTTCATCTGGGATGGAGGCACTTTTTTATCTGCCTCATCTGTCCCACTCCCGCTAAGCTGACTTTTACCCACACCACTTAACAGTTCACTCATTCATCTCAACAACAAGCCCTAAAGCAGCTGTGACGTTCACAAACTCTACAGCATGTCTTTGATTTATTCAACTCTTAGCGCTCAGTCGCTTGATGAGTGATGAAATCTCTGATAAAGCCCTATGTTGAATCATGCTTGAATAATTTGCCAGATTGGTTATTTAACATTATGGAGACTGATTATTAATTTCTAAAGGTAATATTGTTAGAGCACATTTTAAAAATTTGCGTTATTACCAATAAATGATGATAAAAGGTAGCAATCATATACTTTGATTTATTTTCTTCAATATTTAAAATCGTGACTTTACCTTGTGATTATACACCCAACACCTACTGGAGATTATGTTTGAATGCATAGACAAACGGCTGACTTCTTCTTTTTATTGATTTCTTTAGTTCAAAAACAAAATGGTCTTACCCGGACGTGAATGAAGAGGTTTTGGTCGAACGATGAGAGACGGACACATGGAGTAGAGAGAGAGTTTCTCAAAATAATCACACGTTTCCCTGGAGAGGATCTCGTCTATCATGAACGTCTTGTAGCGCCGCCTGGCAGCCTTCAGCTGGCCGGGGGAGGAGAGCCTCAGCTCGGCTTGACAGTGCATGATGCGTCCCCGCCGTGCGCCCTGCGCGCACTTCTCTGGAGTGGTCTAAAAGAGGTTTTATTCGAGTTTGAAGGGTCAGAACAGCCAGGAAGGATGATTGTTGGAGTTCATGCGTTGGAATAAGTCATTGTTTATGTTTTGGGAAGGCTGGCCGTGTGGATTCTCCCTGAAGAGTCGCGGTGAGGAGCAGCAGCCTTCACCTTGAGCCGCACTGAGCGCCGCGCTGGTAATGAGCAGCACGCACACCCACAGCTATATAAACCATGGCTGTAGTCCTCGCACACGCACACACACACACACACACACACACACACACACACACACACACACACACACACACACACACACACACACACACACACACACACACACACACACACACACACACACACACACACACACACACACACACACACACACACACAGAACGTTCTCCCTCCTTGATGATTGTTTTATTTGAACAAAATAGGCCTACTGGTTTAACAAATGTATGTTTGAATTAAATATATTATTATAACTCATAATTAGGCTATTATAAACATTTATTGACAGTGTTGCGCTTTCAAATGATTTATTCTTATTAATAAATAGACTAACTATGTACCAATAACAAATTGATTAATTTGAATTGTGTTGTTTTACACAACAATCAGCCTAAAAACTGGGAGACTGTTGTGTAAAATAATGTCATTCGATTAAATAAGTAGTTAAATATCCTAATAAGTAAATTAAACAGTTTTTTTTGGTACATAAAAACTTTGTGGAATGGACTAAAAGTTGGATAAACACCAATAATAACTTTTATTTAAATACTAAAACATTAAATGCTGTTTTTAAATTACAACTTTAGATCCAAGTCGAATATTTTATTTGTCGTTGGGTTTAATCAGCTGCAGGTGTGATTTATTGTCCATCAACACCTGAGCGCGTGCACGTCCGACCGATTGGACGCGTGTTTTGTCTCCTAAACTCGCGTCAACAGTCTGGGGACATTTGCAAACGGTCGTTGTCTTTTATCGGTATAAAACAGTCCTGCTGAGCTCCTTGTTCCGTTAAATGAAATTTGAACCGAAATGTTCACCGCTCCTTGTTTCTCTTTAGTTTGGCATTTAAGCATAATAAAAATATTATTTTTGCATTCCCATCATTTATATTAACAAATATTTTAATGAAAAACAATGTTATTTAAGGGTCTAAAATGTTTTATATTAATTTTTAAACTTTGAAATTAGTCCCAGAAAAATAACTGCTGTCATCTGAGTCTGTAAACTTTTTTTGTTCAGACCATAAAACAAAGAAAACCCCTTACCTCGGAACTCTAAATTTAGGGTTATGCATTAATGCTTTTTTAAATTCATGATGAAAACAAAAGCTCCTAAACTATCTCTGAACTTGTACCTTTTTGATTATAAGTCTACAGGATTTTTCCAGTGAGACCCATCTGAGGCCGGGATCAGGGCCCCCTGTTCCCAGGAAGGAAGGGAGGGTTTAGGCTTTCGCTGTTCGGATCATTTTAGGAGACTCGTTTCTGTACAAGTCCACACAGGAGCGGCTACCGAGTGGCCCCTCTAATCCAGCCGCTTCAGGGCTGGAGACGCCAGGCAGATCATTCAATTAGAGGAGCTATGCTGCCCCAGCCAGCAGCATAAGGATGTTCCTGCTGCACCGGGGGGATGATACTCTCCATCAGACTGATTTGGGACGCATCAGGATGCAATCGGACACTCAACAGATTAGAGACAAGAAATAGAGCTTAGTTCAAAGAGTGCAAATGCAGCTCCGCTCTTGGGCATGAAGTTAGCCCAGAGCATGAGCGCTTTCGGAAAAGTGGATTAGAACATAAACACGTGTAGGAGGGCGCGGTTTCGGAACGCTGCGGTGATCCAAACCGGTGCAAATAAACCTGCACATAATACATGTTAAGTGAAAACAATGGGTGTCACACTTGAAAGGAATCCTAAACAGAAAGGTCAAACATCATGGTTTGGTTATATTTACCATCCTAATTGGTTCAATACAAGGATGTGTGTGGCGCCACCTGTAGATTACTACACACGCTGCTGCACAAGCATATTACTTACACTCGGGTCCATTTATAGCAGCAGATAGTCTGCGTGTGCATGCATCACAGCATGTAGCATCAACACACAATAGCCTCTTTAGTAAACTTAGCCTCTCGCTTTGAGCTGGAAATAGTCCCCGATGTCCCACAGAGGAACGACAATGCAGTCATCGAGTGAAAAGGAGCTTTATCGCTGTGAAAGTGTTCATTTAAAACAAGTCAGGAATTAAAAAGTTAAATCCACATTAAAGCCAATATCTGGAAAGTTCACATCTGAAAAATATACAAGACTGGTTCCCAGTGGTCGTTTCAGAGTTGCTGGTGAAATCTGGAGCTGAAACTTATTTTGCAAAGTACCTGAAGACATTTTACAAACATAAAACCTGGCTGTTGTCACATATCTTCTGTTTGTTTTTTTACTTTGTGTAAAACTCATGACCATCTTGTCTGAGCTCTTACGACAATCTTTAGAGTATCTAAGACTTCCAACATCTGTGTCAAAAATGTCACAAGAAAGAAGAAATTCAAATTTAAAAACACCTTAAAAAAGGAAGTATTAAACCTTTAAAGTGGTAAGATCATGTAGAAATGACCTGAGTATAAACCATGACTTAAGTCAACACAATTCTTTAGAAAACAGTCCAGAAAAGAACCAAGAACTTTCCAGAAGTTCCAAACAAAACTCAGTATCGTCTCCACTTGTTGTCGAAGTCTCGCTGGCCACGGCTGCCTCCTCTCTCCTCGTGTCTGTTTCCACTTCTGTTGCCATAGTGACGGTTGCTGCTCCTGTCGTTGGGGTGGTGGTAGTTTTCTCGGCCGTGCTGCTGCTGTCGACCGGAGCCTTGGTTGTCCCCGTAGCGCTGGCTTCTGCCACTGTCCCCCATCTGGAAGGGATGATGGCGAAAATGGGCACTGTCCTGTTGCCTGTTAGGAGCTCCACCTGAAGCGGACTGCCACGGCTTGGAGGAGAAGCTGTCGTTCAGCTGCTGGAGCTGCTGGAACTGGAGCTGCCACAAGTTGTTCATCTGTGGATGGAGCACAAGACACATCAGCTCACTTCAAACAAAAACGTCCCAACACATCTCAGACGTGGTTACCATGGCGTTCTTCTGGAGGCTATCCGAGGGGAAGGACCTCTGCATTTGGTGAGGAGGAGTATAAGGAGGAGAACTCAACTGGATTGGAGTCCTGCAGAAATAAAAACATTGTTGAGCTGTTCTACTTATCATTTTAAACCCTCGCTGATTTTTAGATAACTGACAAATAAAACCTGGCACTTGTGGAGGTGACAGATGTAAAATACAGAGAAAAATAACAACCACACGTTACTGATCTTCACTAGTCTTACGACTCAATCCTATTATGGTTATCACGTCAACTTTTAAATTTTATTTGATCTCGAATCGCGATTATTTCATAAGGGTTCGTTTTCGTCAGAAGATGTCAGATATTTGCTTTTTTTTAAATAAAAAACGTGTCAGACACATGGCATCCCCCAAAGAGCTCTTTGATCACTACGGTCCTTATGATGATATAAAAATGTTAAACCTTTTAAACATGGTTCAACAAAGTAAACAAATCAGTTTCCTCATTCAACATCTCGGGCTGCTGGAGAAACATGACCTGCAGATGCTGACAACATCTTCAAAAATACTGAAAACCTAGAGGATGTGTCCAATTCCTGCCTTTAATTTAGATTATAAAATTCTTAATGGGGCCATACATTAGCTTCTGATGTCTTTGGAGCAGCTTTAGAATCAAATATTCAGCTGTGGTTTAAAAATAAAAAAACTGCACTACACTAGAATCGATTATGGCGAGCTTCTTCAATGATTCCTAATCATTTGTCTTTATCTCGATTCTTTTCCTCAGACCTAGAAACTAGCAGCCGGGTTGCTGATCTGGAGCATACGGTGTGTGTTAACACAACGCCAAGGATGAGACACCAGCAAGGATCTTAAAGAAGCAAACAATCAACCAGTTTAGAGGATTATTTATGAGTGGAAAACATTCAGGACAGCCGCCAGCCGTCCCCAGAGTGGAAGTCCTAAATTCACCTGGAGGTCAGTCCGTGTAACAATCAGAGAGAAGGTACATCAGACTTTACAGGCATCAGTTAAGCCCGGTTCATGCTTCTCCGTCAGCTACGCAAGAGACAGACACGCACGGATTGACGGAAGCGTTTTGCTCTCATACTTCTCCGTCTCCTGGAGAGTGTTGCAAAGCAATTCCCGGCAGGACAACAGAGGGCGTAGCGCTGTTCTGTGGTATTCTGTCATGTATCGGTCCAAGATAGTGTGTTTATACTATGTTTTTTTGTAAATACGAGACTTTTTAACACGGACAAATTTGTCTCTCATTCTCCCACCTCTTCATGCGCTCCCCACCTCTAAACCCACGTTTCCTGTCATTTCTGTCCACAAATTAAACGCTTGCTGCGCATCTTTTCACTCCTCCAGTCACGGGAGAATTAAACGTTCATGTTTTTAGAGTTTTTTCGCGAGGTATTCTTCAAGCTTCTCCATGTCTGCCGCTTGTTACCCTTGGCTCTCTTTATGTTTTTGAGGGCGCAATGCCGGCGCTGTAAACAACAGCGGCGTCCAGACCAATCACAAGCTTGCGTTGTCCGTCTCGACTGACAAATGTTTAAAAAAGAGAGCTAGACACCGACCGTCCTTGCGGAGCTCTCCGGCAGGCCCGCAGGGACGTTGAGTGTCTCCGCACTGACGCAGACGGAGAAGCATGAATCAGGCTTTAGTAGGTTAAAGGTTAAAGTTCATGATTGAACATCTGAAGAAGTATAGCTTGTTTGGAGGGGTTGGAGGAGAACACCCTGTAAGATAATGTGGCAGATGGAAGCGATGCTTACAGAAGTTTCTGATTTCATGACATGAAATGTTTCTAGGCGCTTCTCACTAAAGCCCTGCACTGAAGCCCTAAGCCCTCGGGTCGGCCCAGCCCGACGGCCCTCGGGCCGGGCTTCGGGCCAACGACTGTGTAATTACCTCGGACACAGGCCAGGCTGGGCGCCTTTATTTTTAATCGAATTCATTAAAAAAAATTGAAACACTTAAACCAGGGGTTGGCAACCTGTTCCCATCAAAGAGCCATTATTACCCGTTTCCCACAGTAAAGAAAACACCGCAGCACCCGCGGCGTTGTGGGCGGGGCCTACCCTCAGACAGCAGAGCGCTGCTCACAACAGGTGACAGCAGCCGGTACCGGTCGCTCGTGTACGTCAAAGTTATCTTTCATAAGAAGATAATCAATAAAACGATTTATATAAAGTGGATCCAGAAGTTGTAGCCCGTCTCTGCCTTCAATATTTAGATATTTTTCACCCTGTTGGTGGTTTTACTGAGCAGGTGCCACTTTTGTCATACGTTTCTTTTTAAAACATGTTTAGACTGTTCAGAATACAAATCCAGGCTCTGTCACGTTTGATTGTTGTAATTAAACTTTGTAGGTGGGGAAGGTCAGAAAAGGATCCGATCAATTTGTTTTCCCCGTTTACAGCGACGGAGATAACGGTGCAGTGCGCCTGGCTCTGGTGTTAATCAAGTTAAATTATATCTCTTTGCAACAATTTTCACAAGAAAACAAAACAGTTAAAAGCAGGGCTTGTGTTGTATTGACCGGACAGTTCCAGTATTTGACCGTTTATTTTGACGAAGAATAGAAAGAATTACCCCGACGCATGCAGACGAACTGACATTTTATTCTACGCAAATCGCAGATGTAGCTAAATCACTCAAGAAAAGATTCTCATCTGAACATCTGAGCTGGACATTGCTCAGCGCACCTCATTGTCAGCGTGTACTACATAAGGTCCACAGCAAGCTGAAGATGTGGAGAGGGGCTTGGAGCGCGTCGCAGAACCAGAGCGCATGCAGGAAGATTCCTCCGACTGAATTCAGTCGGAGGAATCTTCCCGCTGATCTGAATCTGATGCAGCTCTCTGTGCTTGTAAAATAATGAATGGATATTTAAATAAAATGCTTTATATTTTACTGAATTAATTTTATATCTGTATGTCAATTCTAAATGTAAAGATTGTCTGCGTAAACCTGAACAGTTACAACCCGGTCTTACTGTGAGACCGGATTGATGGGTCACGCTTGTGCGTAATCATATAGGCACTTTCTGAGCTGACGACGTGAGATTCTGGGCTTCTCCTCAGACGGCCCCTGGATGTGTCGCCACGTTGGAGACAGGAACAAGCACTATTCAGCCAAAGTTTCATAATCAGGGAACATTTTCTAAGTGACAAGTCTCTCTGAGAGACAGGGTTTGGAAAACACTCGCTTCAGTGAGAGGAACCTTCCCGCATGCGCTAGAGGTGAGAATCTTCACTTGTCTTCTGATTCGATTCGATTACGATTATTGGATCGACGATTCAATTCGATTCGATATCCCGATGCATCACGATTATTTCATATTGATTTGTTTTCATCGATAAATAGAAGAAGGCAGATAATTGCTTTTTATTTTTTTAATCAAAAACATAACTGACACAACCTGCCATCCCTCAAAATCTCTCCACTCACAACAGGTTAGGACAAAACATTTAAGAAGATTTAACAAAGTAAAACAATCTGTTTCCTCGTTCAACAACACGCCTCAGGCTGAGAAAAACACGCTTTGCAAAAACTCACAAAATCTAAAAAAGTACAGAAAACCTACAAGACACATAATGTAATAATAAAATACATAATGGGTTCATATATGAGTGTTTAATGTCTCTGAGCAGCTCTAGAGTCCAATATTTATGCCACAGTTGAAGGGTGACAGAAATAACACCAAATGAAATGTTTGACTTAGTTTGTTATTTTATTTGAACCCAGTGGTTCGTTTCTGAAATGTTGGAGAATGAATCAAGTTCTGTTTGATGCAGAAAATAATAAAACACTAAACAAATTCTACACTTCCAATAATATTTAAGATGTGTGTTTTATTATTTCTCATAATAGCACCAGCAGAAGGCTGTGGGCTGGATTAGGATTAAATTACCCAGTTGATGGATCTCCTTCACTAACCAGCTAACTACAAACCTTTCCACTAACCTGTCCTGTGTCACCCTCATGTCCATGCTGTCTCTGGAGGAGCAGATAGGAGACAAGTCTCCTGTAACCTAAAATGAACCAAAGCTTCCTCCCAGTTTCTCTTCAAGCTGAATTTAACATCAGTTTATCTTCATGAAACAAAAGAATAAAGTGGAACAAGAACTTCTATCTTTTATTTCTCTCTCCTTTTAACTTCTCCGTGTCCCTAAATAAGAGACAGACGATCACGCTGCAGCCGCCGTCATTGACCCCGCCCCCTCTCCAAGACCGAATCTCTCAGCATAAAAACACTCAGTCTGACTGAGCGCTTCCATGAGAAATAATAATTAAATTATGAAAATATCGCGTGTTTGGAGCATCGGTTTGGAGGAGCGTCCTCCGATCCTCTCTCTTGTGTGAGCAGACAGTGTCTCTCTCTCTCAGTCGCTGAACGAGTGAACGGAGCGCGCCGCATGACATACCTTAACATACCTTCACGGCCCAAATCCAACAGAACCGGTCGGCTGATTCGGTTCCGGTTCTGTCTCAGGTTACAACTCTAGCGCTCAGCCCTGGGGTACCACATTAAGGCGGAACCACTTGGTAAATGTGGAGGACACTCAGTCTGACAGATTTGGATGCTGCGCTGGTGCCGCCGTTAAAAAAACAAAACTACATTCCACTATAATGGATTATGGCGTACTCTTCTACGGTGCAGAATCGTTTATGTCCGCATCCCGATGCATCGATTATTTGATTAATTTCCTCAGCTCTAGCATGCGCTCTGGTTCTGCAACGCGCTCCAAGCCAATCTCCACATCTTCAGCTCGCTGTGCACATATGCGCTGACAGCGAGCTGCACTGAGCAGTGTCCAGCACAGATGTTCAGATGGGAATCTTTTCTTGGGTGATGTAGCTACATCTGCGATGTGCGTAACGAATAAAATGTCAGTTCGTCTGCATGCGTCGTTCTTTCTATTCTTTCTCCGTCAAAATAAACGGCCAAATACGGGAACTATCCGGTCAACACAAGCCCTGCTTTTGACTGTTTTGTTTTCTTGTGAAAATTGTTGGAAACAGATCAAATGTAACTTGATTACCACCAGAGCCAGTGTGCCGTTATCTCCGTGACGGTAAATGAGGGAAAAACAAATTGATCGGATCCTGCACGTCTTTTAACACATTGGTCAGGATTGACGCACTTTGTTTTCATTTAGTTGGTTAAAAAAAAGTCGAGCTCGGGTCAGGCCAGAGAATCCTGAAAACCTTTTCGGACCGGGTCGGGCTGGGGCTCCATCCCCTCGGGCCGGGCCGGACACCGGCTCAGATTTTAGGCCCGTGCAGGGCTCTACTTCTCACCTCTGACCGTGGGGGTTTGGAGTATTTGCAGGACTTGAATTCTGGGAGTTTCCTGGACTGTTGCCATGGCTGCTGCCTATCATGGAGTAAAACAAGGAGAACGTTAAATAAAACAGTCACTTTATCCATGTTTCAGTTATTTAAGAAAACAAACGATGACCCTAGAAGCCCATTTGTTTCTCCAAGACATCATTCTACCGACCATGAAGACAATCAACACCCAAAAACAACAACTACACTAAACAATTGTGTTTTTCTGTTGTATATTTTCTGTTCTACACACTAAATCCAATCGCTTGTCTTAAATATGTACAAGTAAAATGAAGTATATTAACAGAATTAAATACACGAGTAATTCTAAATATTTCCTAACTCTGACATTCTAGCATGAGAAGAAAGTTGGTGCCGTAGTGATTAGGATAGGGGAACTAAACCTCAGAGCAGGTAAAGCAAATCACTAATTAGTAAACAACTTCAAGTGATTGATTACAGAATAAAAACGCACTCATTCTTTATATTCTACCACATGAAAGCAGAAACGAAGTGCTTCTAATGGGATTTGTTGATAATTATGATTTTTTTCTGTATTTTTAAAGCTAAATAAATTAGCTTAATAAGCCAAGTGTTTATAACTAAACAAAAAATAAATGAGTACTTTATGGAAACCAAAGTTTAAGAACACAATAGAAGAGTTTTGATCACATTTCTGACATTCATATATTTTATAATGAAACAAACCGTAGCCATTAACCAGGGCTGTTCACAGTACCGGACTAGTAGCTCTCGCTCATTTTGTCATGGTGGATGATTTGTTGTAAAACACAGCAGGTTGTAGAGAAGCAGTGTAAACAACAAACTGAATGATAATCTAGCATCATGTTGTTGACACACAGCTGAGGTTCAAAACAAGGACAGAAAAATATTTTTGGGGATATTTGGGACTATGAGATTCGAGGATTTCACCTCGATAACGATAAATGGGCGATAACTACAGGTATGCGCAGAAACAAAAGTCGTCCACTAGATGGGGCTGTCACATGTATTGCTGTCACATTTTCACAAGGTGGCACAGCCTCTTAAAGGGACATGAATGTTGCCAATTGGCATCTTTTCAATTTTTTATTATCAAATTTGTTGACATGGAAAATTCTCTCGATAAGAGTCAGAAATTTCGATAACGATACATTTTGGATTTATTGCCCAGCCCTTATGTTATGGTTAGGGAAACTGGGACTGATTTATGAATGAAATTGTAAATAACATCAGTTACGTTTACTCGTTACTGTAAGAGTTTAAGATTACTCTGTAAAGTCCAACTTTTGATCACCTAAAATGTTCATTAACTCAGCCAACATGATTGTGTTTTAGAGAATCACAGGTTACACGTGTTACCAGAGCTGGATTTGTTCTATTGCAATAAACTGATCTCACGGGGGAACGTAACATCATGTCAACCAGTCTTTCATCTAGAACAGGCGTGCCCAAACTGCAGGCTGCAAGCCATTTGCAGCCCTTGGCTGCAACTCAACAATGGCAGTTACATCCTGCCCGGAGATGCGGTTGATGCAGATTCGCCTTACAAAAGATTTTATGTAAGAACTTTTACTAAAGGCAAGGTCCAACCAAAATGCTGGTAAAATAGAAAAAGTTTTGAAATGTAAACATTTAATTACAATAAAAACTTTTGTCTTTTGTTTTAAATATATTTTAAGGGAAACAGCAGCACAACCTGTGACTGTTACTGAAAAGCAGACGTGTGTGCAACCATTTATCCAACTAGACAAATAAAGGACACCGTAACCTTAAAAAAGATATGCATAGCTGACAATGGTCTAAGAATCTAAAACCAATCAGCCTTTTCTGGAACAAAGTAATTCAATTCAATTCAATTTTTAAATTACAACAATAATAATTTAGATACTTTTGGTGGTCTGTGATTACTATCACATCTCAAAATGTTTCAACATCCAGAACATCACATAAAGATTAGTAATATGTTTTCTTTTCCTTTTCTTATGGGTTGAATTTTCTGCTCTCTGCTTGTGTGGTCCTTGTCACCAAGGCCCAGTGGACTGTGTCAACATTTGCCAATCTCTCCATATTTTATCATCCAAATTTTTTTTATTATTATTCAGGTTGCTATTGATTTACATATTCGTGTTTAAATAAACAATGATGAGCGTGATGTTTTAAAACTTAGACAAAAACACAGCAACTCACCTGTTCTGAACTGCACTTGGATCGTTTTCCCGTACAGCGATGTTCCATTTAGCAGCTGCATAGCATAAGGCACAGACACTTCGTGTTTGTAGACAGCAAAACCAAATGTTTTCTGTTTTCCATCCAAGTCTTTAGGGATTTTAGTTCTGATGAGCGGTCCTGCCTGTAAGCACAATCAATCATTGTCATAAACCGACCTGTAAGCCGATAGCAGCTGGTTAGCTTTTGTAAGATAAACTAACGGTCGAAACCATCGGCGGTGTGTGCTCGGATATGAGTGTTGCAGCAAATATAACAATACACACCAACCGGATTTTGCTTATTAAACATAATTTAGCGTAATTACGAAACGTAATCCGCTAGCTTCGTTAATAGGATGCCGTTACAAACATAACTGTCGAAACATGCTAGCTCATGCTAACGAAAGCAGCACCTGTAAAAACAACTCGAACAAAAGCTCCTCCGTCACCCTGGAGTCTATGTTTCGTACGAAAAGCGTCCGGTCCGCTTCTTCCTCTAATCCCATTGTGGTTCGGTTTTTAATTAATTTACTTTTGAAAAACTAAATCCAAAAAAATAATAGTAACAGGAAAACGCTTAAGATTTTCAAACAGGGACCGTCTTTTTTTTTTTTCCTCCTTCCTTCTTCTTCTATGAAATTAATGGTAGACCGAAAACCAAACACAAGACGATTACCGCCACCTACTGTACTGGAGCATAATATAAGCAAAGAAAAAAATTGGGAAAAACAATTTCATTTCATGTCAAATGTCTATGTTTGCTGTTCTAAGTATCTATCAGTAAGATTATAGTAAGATTAGTAGGATTCAGGTGGCCAATTCTGTGTTAAATAATGTCTATATGTATGTTGGACTGCTCTAACATTAATACATTATCTATTAGAAGGTTACTAAAGCTTGATTGTGAATAAGAGTGGTTTGGACATACGTTTCTTTCACTTTCATTCGTTATTTTAAAATGTAGTCATTAATTTAACTTTTTAAAATTTAGAAACAAACAAACACACGCACACACGCACACACGCACACACACACACACACACACACACACACACACACACACACACACACACACACACACACACGCACACACACACACACGCAAACTATGAACTAGTTCATTTGTATCCTTGAACATCGTTCAAATTTTGTTTGATTATGAAATAGGTCAAAATGTATGTACTGAGCTTTGAACTGGTTATTTTTTAACGAACACTGCATACAATTGAAATATACTGTTTATAATTTGAAATTGTGATCGATCTGGTTAAAAAATGTTTATCAAATTAAATCAGCTGCTGCAATCAATCATTTACTCAGTTTCAGTAGCCTGTATACCTAACTGATTTTTTTTCGTTGTGTTTGGTTTTTATTTAATTTATTTGAGTGTTTTATAAATTAATTAAAAATCCAAATTATTTAAAACTAAATAAACAATTAAATACATTCACATTAATGCGTTTCCTTTTTCAAACAAATTATGGACTTTTAAAAGAAGTTCTGTGTTTATTAGATGCCTTTGGGTATTTGTTGGTTTCTGAACCAATAATTTTTTCATACAATATGCTCGATTAGAAACTACAAACATAAGATGGTAAAATGTTGCAATTAAATATACGGTACTTATTTTATAATACCTATTAATAAAATCCCTCTGTCGCGGATTCAGTTTCACCCTGTAGCCGCCAGAGGGCGTATCTGTTATGCATATTTGCTGAAAGCTCCTGCTGTAGCTCGTGGGCAAAATTTTGATCATTCATGATTAAAATAGATTTATTAATAGAGTTTTATAGGTGAAAACATTTATTATCTAATTATGTTGTTAACCCTTTATAGGGCTTTCACTGAGATCGAATTAAAACATTTCAGTTATTACATATAACCAAAGTATTCTTCTGTACACAATTTTCTAAAATATTTTCATGCAGAAAATCTGAGAAAACATAGTGATCAAATTGGGCGCTGTCCCAGTTCTGATAAACTACATCCCAAATAAAAAGCATTACCAAGGTAAATAAACATTTTTTTAATAGTGTAGATAAGTATAAGGCACTTTACTTATCTACACTAAATAATTTAAGAACAATAAATCACTGTTTAATAAACAGTATACATCACAATAATTAAATATATTCTAAATCATAATTGTTATTGTTACTGTTACCATGATTATGAAGATTACGTCTAAAAAAACAATAGATTTGACACAGCCAGTTTAACCCTCTGGAGGCAGGCGTTGCAGATTAGCAACGTTAAAACCTACCTGGTTACTCCACATACGTATTTCATGAGCATTTTTAACTCAGAAGTACCCCTGAAGGACTTAGTTGTTCGTCCTTTCATCAAAACGTATTTTGAGCCTGAGAGGGTTGAGGTGCAAGAAATGTAAAGGCTTAAATGTAAACATGGTAATAAGACAAGTCTAAACTACAAAATGAAACATAAAGTAAACATAAAATAAATGTAAACAGTCAGGATGAACTAGCTAAATGTAAAGGTGCTGTAGTGCACTTATTGTCCAGCAGGTTCACGATTAGTGAGACCTCCCAGCAGCAACATTCAGTTCAGTGATGGCTCCTGTATAAAAGCTGTTCAACAGCCTGGTGGTGCGTGCTTTTATTGCCCTGCATCGTTTGCCAGATGGAAGAAGTCTGAAGAGATGGTTAGCAGGGTGGGTTGAGTCTTTAGGATGTTTGTGGGTTTCTGAAGGCAGTGATAGTGAATATGTCCTCCTGGGCAGGCAGGTGTGTGTTTACTCTCTGCAGGGCCTTCCTGTCAGCTGCAGTGCTGCTGCTGTACCACACCAGGATGCTGTTGGTCACGACATTCTCTATGGAGCAGAGCTAAAACCACACCAGCAGTTTTGTGGGAGGTTGATCATTCCTGAGAGGAAGCATAGCCATTGTTGTTGTGCCTTCTTTATCAGACGAGGTCAGGTTATCAGCTGTACACCAGTCCTCCAGCTGCTGCACTTCTTCCCTGTGCGTTGACTCATTTCCCTGGCTGATTAGGCCCACCACGGTGGTATCATCAGCAAATTTGATAATAGCATTGGTGTTGGGGGGGGGGACCTTGTGTGTGCAGGGAACGAACTCATGCAGCCGTACGTATCTGTTCAACAACATTAAATCAATTACCTACAGCTGGAGCTATAGCAGCTAGCTGCAAACGGAGCTATGTTTTGAACCTCCTTTAGGATAACGAGGCTAAATATTCTCTTCTAAATGGCAAAAAGTGTAGTATTATATGGGGTGCCATTTGTAAAGTCAAACAGTCATAATCTAACAGCAATATTTTTGGTTATTTAGCATATCATAAGAGAAAAAAATTGGGAGTTCACTTTTTCGAAGTCATATTTTCATCATGTTATTCATACATTTATAAATGTTAAATTTTCCAAATAAATATTTAGTTAGCAAGATAAATATTTAATTTGCAGTTAAATATTTATTTTGCAAACTAAATATTTAGGTCTGATCTAAATATTTAGTTTGTAAAATACATATTATTTCACTAACTAAATATTTAATTTACTAATTAAATATTTATTTTGGAACTAAATATTTAATTTGTAAATTAAATATTTATTTTCCAAAATAAATATTTAGATCCCAGCTAAATATTTATTTTGGAGCTAAACATTTAGTTTGCAAAATCAGTATTTGGGAAATAAATATTTAAGTCTGACCCAAAAATATAAACTATAGAGTGTGGAGCTAAATAACATCATGGAAAATAAATATTTAGCTGGGATCTAAATATTTCTTTGGAAAATATTTAATTTACAAATTAAATATTTAATTTAAATTTTAAATATTTATTTCCAAAATAAATATTTAATTAGTAAATTAAATATTTAGTTAGTGAATTAAATATTTATTTTACAAACTAAGTATTTAGATCAGACCTAAATATTTAGTTTGCAACATAAATATTTAACTATAAATTAAATATTTAGCGTCCTATCTAAATATTTATTTGGAAACTTTAACATTTATGAATGTATGAATAACATGGTGAAAATATGACTTTGAAAAAGTGAACTCTCAATTTTTTCTCTTATGATATGCTAAATAACCAAAAATATTGCTGTTAGATTATGACTGTTTGACTTTACAAATGGCACCCCATAGAAAACACTATAGTTTGAAATGAAGTAAGAATGTAAAAACAAAAATAACATTTCTTCCCGCTTTGCTGATTTATTGAATCCTTTTTGTGGGTTTTTTGCTCATGAAAGTTAAGTTATGCTTCACTAGTGACTAACTGCAGTAAATGATGCTTTGCTGCAATTATTGTTAACAATATTAAAGTTAGACGTAATTACCACTTTTATCTGAAGAAGCGCGTCTTTATCCCCGCTCCAGCTGCTGAGATCAAAGTTGACAGAAACGGGGATCCGTGCCTGCAACCCGAGCAATTAATCCGCGTATTTCCAGCAGAACACGTTTGCCGAAAGATTTGTGCGATAATCACACTTTCATTTTCCTCATACTCGACTCACGTGACCAGGCGCAAATGTTCACGTAACCAACGCAATTGCGTCATTAATATGCAAATTTGAACGTTGCGACCTCTAGTAACCTCTGAGCAAGCGTCAGCAAGGCAGATCAGAACGCTTCATAGAAGCACGTGATCATAAGCTTTGATACGTCATACAGAGAACATCATTTCTTACTACAAGTCATTGTTGGTCAGAGCACTCGACGCGATTTTAAAATGGAATACGATATAGAAGAATACAACTGGGAGTTGAAAAACAAAATAAGCCAAACTGAGAGAGAAATTCAGAAAGTGAAAGATGAAATTTCAGCATTTAGAGAAAAATCTGCTTTTGAGTATAAAATACGAGAAGCCAAACATGCAGAAAATATGCAACAGAGAGGCTTGAAACATGATGCAGAAATGAAAATCCTCCATCAAAAGATTTTTGCTCTAAATAAACTCGTTTTAGAGAATGACAGTCGAATAGCAGCGCTCAGAAAGGAAAATGACAACCTGAGCGTTTACAGAAAATTAAAAGAAAAACGCGATTTTGACACAAAAAAGATTGAGCGACCTCCGAACAGACCTGAGACTGATAGAGAAAGGAAGATCAGCCAGTTACATAAAATGAGTCAGCTAGCTTTGAAGGACGCCTCAACACAAAGTAATGATGGAAAACAGGCTGCATTGGGAAAAGATAATGCTAGATATAATATTTTAATTCAAGAAAAGATGCGTTTTTGTGAAAACATGACAGGGGAACTAAAGAAAACAGACGAGAAATTATTAAAGGTAGATGAAAAAATGGCTGAACTCAGGCACATCAGAAGGCTGCAGTAAAGTGAGGATGATTTGAAACAAGAAAGGGAAGAAGCTTTTGTGTTAAGATCTTTTAATCCAGAGACGAGAAGAATAATGAATTTATTTCCCAGGGAGGTACCGATCTCTCAACCAAAAGAGGCTGATGTAAAGAAAAAAGTTAGAGATCCAATGAGTTGGTTACGGGAATAAGAGGGTTAATCCCACAGTGGGGGTGTCATTTTTAAACACAGATGAGGGGAAAGTGTCGAAGGGGCATGCTAGCTCAGGCAAATAAACACGAGCTAAACTTTCTAGGGTCATGGGTCGGGTTGGGGTTGGGAGAGATA